ATTAACTTTTGCATGCCTCGTCACTCGCCGAGTTGAGAGAACTTGCAAGTGGAAGTAATGAGCCCGAAGTGAAGATTTTCCGCTACTCCGTCGGATCGGACTGAGGAAAAATGGGAATACCTACCTCAGCGTCAGAATATCTGTTCCACCGACAAAAATTCCTGTTCGGGGGTTTGTTTGGTTTTCCACGAATTTGAGGAGCATACTTGAAATTGTTAAGTTCCGAGCCCGACTTGGAGTCGTACCTAAAATAAATTTAATCCTTTTAGCTGTTTGAATCCCACCCCCCTTTTAAGTGCTTCCGTTCTCGGGTTTCTCTTCGCGAATTCTTTGCGTCTTCGGTTTTGGATTTATATCGTAAGCGAGGATCTTTAAGAGTCGTTGCCAAACTGGGAGGCAACTCCCACACAAGTAAAGAATTTCCGCGAAAACTTTGTGATCTCCTCATGGCCTTGCCATCTGTTATTATGAAAAAATCCCTAGAAAATGTGACGACTTTTAATTTGTCGCAATTTTGAATCCCTGGGAAATCATAACATTGTGGTAGAATTTCTCTTGACTTGACAACGGAGCCTCTAGCGTTGCGTTGGATTTAATTAAAGCGAACTTGTTTACCTTGTAGGCAACTCTGACATGAGTGAATTTTAAAGATTTTGATCCTCTCTTTTTCTTGCGCTGAGCGCGAATCTCATTTCTCATTATATATCTGAAACTAAGAGAAAAGTTGGGAGAAATTTTAATCGAAACATTCTTACTCTCCGTTGCATGCTATCCATTACAGATTCCTCAGTCTTTCCTTGAGTCTTCTCCTGATGCTATTGTATTGCGAGATTTACAAACTGGACTACATTTTGCAATGAGGAGCTTTTATCTCTAGCTCATTTTAGAAACCGCGTATATACAAAAAGTTTTCCGATGCAGATGGATGTTTCCATGGATGAGCCAGAAATTATAGTTCCTTGTTGCAAAATAAAGTGCAATTAATGATGCAAGGAACAACACAGTGCGAAAAAATATGAATGAAATGTTCGTTAAATAAGTTTAAATTTACGCATTCTTTAGAAAATTATTCATTTAGCCTTTGCTAATACTTTCATTGCACCTCAATTGTTCTCCGTGGGCCCCCTAAAAACCTAAATGGAACTTTTTTCAAGATGATGATCTAATTTCTTTTCAAAGTAATAGATTCGATGGAGAGAAATATGTTACAAAAACTTTGAACTAAAATAGAGCGTCATCCTAGTCTTTCCGTTTAACGAAAAGAAGATTTATAGGAGGTTTCTCGTCTTTTGCACAATTTATTCTGGGTAGGATTGATGAATAGTGGATTTCAATTAGTAAAGTGGAAATGTTTGAAAAAATCGAAATCTGCATGTGCATCAGACATGTCTAGGAATCATGATTAAGAGTAGAAACGGAATGGTGTAGCTAATCAAATAACAAGGAACCAAGTCCACACAAGGGAAGAAACGAGTTAGGGGTGGTTGTGAGCTCAGTCACGCGTCGGTGCTGATAACAGAACCTTCTGTTCCCAGGGCTTCTTTACTTGCTTTACTTTTGTACTTACAGAACTTTTCTGTTGTGAGAACAGAACTCCGGTCATGGACACAGAGTACTCTTTCCTCATAATGGAAACTTTTGCAGCTATAGCAAAGGAAAAGCAGACGCCCTAAGAATAGAACTATTGTTTGCAGTGTAACTGCAAAAATTTTTACTGTAGATTAAAAATATCAAATGTCCAAATAGGCGTTGAACTCTATGTGTCAAGTATCAAATCGAATTAAGGGATAAAACTCCTAGCCTCTTTTTCTCAGTTCAATATCAATGTCATTAGAGTACCTTTATAGGAAGAGTATGAACAACTCGAAAATTTTGAGGTTAGGTTTGATCAGGTCATGTAGCTCTTGGGGCCCAAAAGGGTAGCTAACCTATGAACTCGAATCATCCAGTGGTACTAATTTAAACTGCGAGAGTACGTATACACTGATTAAAAAGTATAAAAGCACGTATAAAACTTTGATTTCGCATGAATTTTCTCAGTTTCATAGCCTTCATCCTTAAAAATGTATGTTTACAATGCGCTATCGGCTCTATTGATCAAATGTATTTATTGGCAGTGGCACTTTTCTAGTGATTTTCGTTTTTTACGTTGTCGCCTTTTTGGGCGCTAGCTACATAAATCGAGTTGTCTGTACTCTCCCTATGAAGGTACTCAAGATATTATACCGGGTTGCTTCTTGCTGACCCCAGTCAGAATGTCCTTTGAGTGGAAAGGATTAAAAACATTTTACAACACGGTTCATATTTAAGTTGTAGAAACTCCAGAGCGCAATGGTGAAATTAAATCCAGCAAACTCAACTTGGTATGTTGAAAATACTTTTCAACTAAAAGATGAGAGGCAAGCTCGGAAGCAAAACGGAAAAAGGGCAAGACGAAGGAAAAGCAGGGCAATCATTGGCATCTGCGACCAAGATACATCCGCAGCTGCATCATTAACCGACACATTTGTGGCACAGATAATATCGCTCCCGAACTTTTTTCCCAAGAAACCTCTTTTCCGATTTATATTTCCTCTCATTCGGCTCCGCTCTAATGTAGGTACAAGAGATGTAGGTTCCTTACACGTATGTGTCTCCTCTTCCCGTTTTTGACTCTCCGCGATCTTCGCGCCGTCTCCTCTCAAACCGCTCGTGACGTTCCTATCACTTGAGTTATGATTTATATCAAAATGTGATGGTTTTCGTCGGAATGACTCTTCTAATTCCTATGTCTAGTCTAGTCCTAGTCACCAATAATACACAATAATGACCTGAATATTTCAGTTAAAAAAGACAAGAAAACGGATAACCAAAACTGGAAAACAACAAAAACCAAGCTTGGGCCGTTTTGGGGTGGTTTAAACGCCCTCCTCGACCAGCAAATAAAAATTGATGAAAAAGTATTACAATCTTTTAAAAATTTTTAAAACCCTTATTCGCGATGACAACGAGCGAGGTTGTCACCTCTTTTTTATAATTTATTTTAAAGTTTTGTTTCTTTCTCGAAGCGGGGGGGGGTCGACCCCTCCCCCCACCAAAAAAAAACAAAAAAAAATTTTTCCAGGCTTTGTGTTTGTTATGTTTCAGTCTTGGTTACCCGTTATCTTATGTTTATTAGTCTAATCCTTGTCTTTAGAACATATCTATTAGGTAACCTTCGTACATGTTCCAAAATTTTCAGCATTATTTATCTCCGGAAAAAACCCCTAACCATATTGCCTGATTAACTCCTTCTCAGAACATTCTCTGCTTTGCAAACATGTATTCGAAACATTTATCAGGAAATTTTATTAGTTTTTCGGTTATTGTGTGAGAAGGGATTCTTTTACCAACTCAAAAACGGTAAGCGATATTAGGATTAGGTGTCGCTAGGATTATGCATAGAATTTCTCATTGTCAAAAAAAAAAAAAAAAAAAATCAAATGCATTTACTTCATACACTTTGCATCGGTGTTTTATTATAGAAAAAGTAAAAAGAACACCATAAGGCGATTTATAGAGTGGTGGTTTGATAAGAAAAAAACTATGTAGAAACTTTCGCAAAACCTCATGAAAGTAATCGATCGTCTCCGGGAGGGACCTGGAAAAATTTAAAAGAGTAAATTTAAAGACAAACTCGAACCTTAAGTAATGAGAGAACGTAAGGCAAGTAAGAGACCATTTTCCGCTTCTAAACTGCCCGGAGTAAATTTTAATTAAAAATGATTAATGATTTTTTGTCACTCCGGAGAAATTCATGAGGTGAAATCCCTTAGTTTGAGATAATGATTAAGGAATGCATTTTTTATTAATACCGCGTTGTCGTTTCTCAGTTATTACATGCCGTGCAACACTTTTACGCGTTTCAGAAACCATGAGAAAGGATATTTATTCCGACTTATTAATTCCAAGTGCTCCGCTACTCTTGAACATTGAGTTCTTGCTCTGTCCCCCCCCCCCCCAAAAAAAAAATAAGCTTAGTTTCAGAATCATTTTCAGTCATTCAAAAAATTTCATCAGATCACCTTTATTACAGAAAATAAAGAAAAAACTAAAAGGGGGGACCGGAACTTTTGCGTAAGATGGTTCAGCATAAATTAGATTGACGTCCTCTTCCGTATTCCCTGAATTTTGTAGCTTTTGGGGTGATATGATGCTTCATCCACTGATCATAATCATCGTTGTACTCCCATTATAGAAAGAAGTAAAAAAAAAAAACAGTATTGGTTATCGGGCCGAAAATTTTCACGCGAGTTACTTCAAATAAAAAAACTGAAACGGCCTCGATGCTGGGCAATATCTTCGAGCGAATTTTCAGTATCCATTCGCAGAGATAAAAAATAAAAGACTCGAGAGCTGGTTTTTTACGGCTGATTTAACCTCTCTACTGTAATGTTCATAAAATGACATGTTGATAACGGAGCCAATATTTTCGAATGCGAAAAAAATTGAACATCCCACCAAGAGTGGGGATGATCTAATTGGTTTCTTTTCACACACTTCATTCAAGAGAAGCGTACTACACATGCTTTCGACATGATGATTTAAAACAATGTAATTCAAACAAGGAAATGTCTAAATGTTGTCACATTTTTTGTTAATATTTTCAATTTCAAATGTTAATTCTGTCGGGTTTAATGAGATGAAATTAATTACATCAACTTTTGGTATGTTTTTGTTGGATGCAAATAATAAAATAAAATTCCGAAAAAAGATTAAAACGCATGAGTACTGTGAATGGAAGTACACTTACAGAAATCAATTCCTTCTCAAGTTGTTATGATTATTCATTTCACGCTGCAGTTACGACTGCAACTGCCTTTCTCACCCCTCAGATGCTTCTTGACTCTTCAGCCAAAGTTTTCATGAATTAGTTTAACTATTAATGTATTTACGCGAGTGAATTTTATCAAGATGAAATGTAATTTATGTTTCATCACATGGAAACAAAATTTTTAATGGATGTTTATCCCTTGTTTCAGTTCCTCCTGGAAAACCCAAGATCTATGAAAAGGGCAAAGAATTGTTATCAATATCGGGGCCTCATGAAGAAGGATCTTCACTCACTCTGAAGTGCATCGTAAGCGGAGGTAAGTTCAATTGTATGAACTCATTTTTTATGAAGAATCTTAATGTTCATTTCTTTCTGCCGCTCTTTTCTTAATATGCCTCCTCAGTTTTTTATAGAAATATTTTTCATCTCGATTTTAAGTTCACTGAATTCAAAGTTTTTCTGTATCAAAAGGATCACGAGATGGCAAAACTCTCCCCACACCCACGCCACCTTGCAAAAGAAGGCACAATGCCTTAGTCTAATTACATGACGTCTTATGGGCTGGTCTCATGTTCATCCTCAATTTTCATACTTTCATACTACAATAAATTTGTGTCATAACTTCGTTACAATATTTTTTCTTTTTGAACGTGATGATTATTTGTCAATTGTTATTTAACTTTTCTCCCTGATCTAAGCGAAACCTCATTGAGAGCATATAGCAAAGTATTGAGAGCTCACGTTTCGCCTCGTCGCGCCTCCAATTTTTCAGATACAGCACGGACGTCCATCAAGTACGAATAGTTGTATCTCCGCGCCGTCGTAAACACGCATCCTTCCCCTCGCTCTCTTTCCATTTTTTGAAATTTTTACAGAGTTCGGATCGAACTTTGATGAATACGTTTGCCGAAAATTAAGCTTTGAGTGTGATTATCATTCATTTCTCAGCCGATGATACGTGTTCCTTTCGATCGGGTTTGTTTACATTCGGCCGACTTTGGAGCTCCATGATAGCCTAAAACTGATGAACCAATCAAAGAGCGGCACAGAGATTGCAATACTTTCCCGTACACAGGTAAACTCTCCTGCCGTGCTAAGGAAAACCACCTTATAAGCCTTCAGGCGCTGCCAAATTTTCTTCAACAAATAACCGATTTTCAAGAAAATTTGTGAAAATTTTTCCTCCAATTTCTCAGGTAATTTTCCCTGCAATTTGATCTAAAAAGTCTGAAGATTTTAAGGAAAAATATCGACAATTTTCCTGAAAAATTAACATTTTATCGGTGAAAATTTGGCAACTCTCGAATGTTCATACGGCGTTCTTCCTTAGCACGGCAGTCTAGTAGTGCCTAAAGTACCTGTACAGCGAGAGTATGGACAGATCGTTTCATGGAGGGCTTTGGGTCCAAAAGTGCAGCCACTCTTCTAACCAACTTCTAACGCACAAAATTTCACTGCCAGTCTGCAGATTCCAATTCTAACCAAGATGGCTGAGGATGTACATAAATGAGCGTTCTTCCGCAAAAATGAGTAAATTTATGCAAAAACTAAGTGAAGTACGTGCTTTATAAACGATGGTTTGTAACAATTGTATTAATAAATCGCTTTGGATAATTGAAAGTCATAGGTTGGCTGCATTTCTGGGCCCTAACTTTATTCGCGGAGGCATCGGTGAAGGCCTGATGGATTTTCGGAGTTTCACATCTGTCTATACTCTCGTTATACAGGTGCTCTAGTAGTGCCCAGGTCAACCAAACAATGCCACCGGCCGGAGGAATATGTGGCACGAAGGCAGAAAATAAAAACCGGCTGGAGTTGTGAAAAGTGAGCCTTAGGCCTGTGGAGTCGGCACGGACACTGCGTCTGAGCCGCGGGCTTCCACGGGGAAGGTGTCGGGGAAAAGCGGTCATTTGGAAGCAAGACGATGCGGAGGAGACGCAGTTTCAGGAGGGGTTAACATCTCTGGTCAGGGTTTGAATTGCTCTGCGGCCCAGGCAGGAACACCATTGGTCTGTTCCAGCTCCGCCGTTGCCAACCGAGACTCACAAACTCGAAAAACCTCAGTGTTACCAGTGGCTGTAACTCGGAATTACTCCCGCACCCAGCAACTTCGCCGGGAGATGATGTCTGAGACGATAGTAAATTCTGTTTACGCTCCTCAGCTAAGGCGGAAAGAGCTTTTAGTCAGGCCGGAAATCTGTACTTCTACCCTACCCTTTTACTTTAACTCTTCTATTCGACCCCTTCCCTGCCGACCTCCTATTTTGACGCTACCTCACGATACGTGTTCTGCGCTTGTGGTTTTCCTCTCTCGATTTTGACCCCAAAAACACATGTGCGGTTTTTATTAGGAGCGCGTCCAATCCAGAGGGCACATAATACATTTTTGAAGAAATATATTTTAATGCCGATTTGGCTGGCTTTCATAGATCATGGTAAAGAGATTGAAAGAATTATCGAGCTACAAGCCAAAAATAAATGAAACAAATACTATTTCAAACTACATAGAGATGAGAAATAATGATTTTTTTTTTTTTATCATTTCTCATCCCTACGTAGTTTGAAATATTATTTGTCTAATTTATTTTTGGCTTGTAGCTCGATTCTTCTTTAATCTTTTTGAAGAAATCGAGATGATATCACCAAGTGATAAAGCTTCTTAAGCCGCATCCAAATAAATGAAAAATAGCAAAATTTAAATTTTGGGGGTGGGAAGGGAAGTTTACCCTTACAATGGTAACGTTTTTCACAGCATGGGCGAAGATTGCACCAAGTAGTTGGGTGTGTCGCAAGAATAGAACTACTGATACTTCAAAAGTTTATTTTTTATCATGTACTATCATGTACGTCGTTGATCTCAATCCGTGGACCTTTCTACTCAATATTTTCACAATGAAAAAAAATTAGTTTTTCAAAAATATTTTATTCCTACTTATGGCTCAAACAAAACACTTTTACTCCCTTTAAAATTTTAATGCCGCAAATATCTTATTAATTTTTAACTTTTAACAAACGTCCGGTATTTTTTTGTTTGTTTTTTTTTTCATTTTTTCTACTACAACTTTTTTTTCATGCAATGGACCTTATTACAACAGTAGTTCGATTAAATTGCACTACGAGGCACGGTTGAAAAGGGACCAAGTTGTACCATACTTGTTGGTTTTTTAAGTACTTCACTCCTGACTTCACACTTGACTCCTCAAAGTTTTCAAACTATAGCTAGAACTTCTTTAAAAAAAAAAAAAAATTGTTGCGGGAAGATTTAAACTCCTTCACGGAAACTTGAACACTCAAGCAAAACGTAGGATACGCAATTTAATTTTGCTCGGTAGTCATATATTTTTAGTCGATTGCATCATGATTTTTCTCGAAAGTTGTGTATGTGAGTCCAGATGGGATGTTCGAAGTTGGGGATGGAAGATAAAGAGCGTGGCATGAGGGGAGACGTAAACAATTTAGAGCAGTTGCGGGAACTCAGAAAGCTATTTCAATCTGTTCCAGAGCAGCGCCGGTAATAAAATAATAATCATGGAAGGGGAGCTGAAATAAAGGTGGAAACCACTTTTCTACGTGTTAGTCCGCCAGTTCGGAGTGCTTCAGTCCATGAGGCTAAATATCAATTACCTAACTTGCGAAGAAAGTTTAATTTCTTGATTCCCATTTCTGACACACTGAAAAATTCCTCTTCCGCTGCGCTGCGCTGGTTTTGGTCGGCTCTTTCACGCAACCATCTTCGATTTATCGTTCTCGCTCTCTCGTCATCTTTTACTCACCAGTGGCGTGGCGTGCTTTAATGCGATATATCGATGGATCTGTCATTTAAACTTATGGAAAAGGATCGATTGACAGTGTGTTCGCAGCGAACACTTTAATAATCAATTCTTTATCACGGATTCAAATGGGGAAATATCGATAATCGATCATTCACGCCACGGACGCCACGCCACTGTTACTCACACAATACATAGATCCAAAGGACGATTATTATCTCTCAGTTTTATTCTCCTATATGTATTTTACCGATCCTTAAGCTTAGATACCCAAGTTTTTCTAAATGTTCAAGCCTCCGGATTACTTTCAGATGATTTTATAATTTTTTGTAATAATATATATAAGAAAATAAAGATAAAGAAAAATATTTTCGGGTCAAAACAAAAGTCTAGAAGATCAAAGTCAAAATCTCTGATGAACTCTTACAATATCAAATACATTCATATACAGTAAAAATTCCTGCGAACTGATTGCGGTGGACGCACGCGTCGTTAGACAGTATGTTGGAGTTTTTTACCAACGTGCGTTAAAAAAGCTGACAATCTCAATACAGAGGGAAAAAGCTCATATGAGCACAATTTTCCCTCTCAGAGATATGCTGTTTGGTGCAGCACTAGTTACGTCCATTCAGGAAGGTAACTGTAGACACGTTTTGGCCTTGTTGGGCCAATCCTCAGTGCAGTGCAGCCTCCTGAATTTGGCTCTTGAGCTTGGTAGCAAGAAAGTCAGGAGGCTGCATTGCAGTGGGGATTGGCCCAACACGGCCGAAACGCGTCTGCAGTTGCCTTCCAGAATGGAGGTAACTAGTGTTGCACCAAACAGCATACCTCCTAGAGGGAAAATTGTTCTCATATGAGCTTTTTCCCTCCGTATGGTTGTCAGCTTTTTTAATGCACGTTGACAAAAAACTCCAACATACTGTCAAAAATTCTTAATTGAAATTGACGCATGAGTATTCCGTTGTGTCCAATCTTCCTTTTAATCATTACCTGTATCATGGTTAATCGTCTTCAAACGAAAAATAATGGATCGATAATAATAATCAAGGATTCAACAAGTACTACAAGCTTTCATTTTAAAAGCAAAAGATCCAATCTTATGTCTTAAAAGGTATATTCATAGTATCCTCAAAATATTCAAGTTACAGATCGGCTAGTGTTGCATCATCTCGTGTATAGGGGCACTATTTTCTGTGCGTCAGCCGGTATTTTCTCTATTGAGAAAATACCGGCTTTCATCAATTATATATACATTTATTTTACTCCAAATATATTTGATACCTCGTCTGAGAGAGATGGCTAAAATATTACATATATTATTGTCATATGGACATGATATATCACAATAATAAAATTTCATTTGGGTTGAGTAGGATATTCAATGATTCATAGAGTATTTGGCGTCCAAGATAAGGGTTTAAATAAGATATTTTTAAAGAGAGAGCTGTGCGTCTCGCAAGAATGTTACTAGTAATTAAAGTGCCGCAACTCCATAACAAGGGAATCTGCTCGAGGCAAATTTGCTAAATACTTGAAGCATGAAGCA